TAACTATTCAAGACGTCCCAGGACGCTAAAAAAACTAGGACATCTCCTGGGACGTCCTGAATACTTTTTATTTATTCTAATACTTTTATTGTTAACTATTCAAGACGTCCCAGGACGCTAAAAAAACTAGGACATCTCCTGGGACGTCCTGAATAGTTTTTAAGGAGCGTCCTAGGTTAATCTTGAAAATCGGTTTAAATATATCATTTTATTGTAATACTTTTATTATTGTAATACACAATAATTTAACTATTACTCTGTCCTGTTTTTGAACTAAACTGTCCTGGTTTTTCAAACATCAATCCTGTTTTTTTTTAATTTGAAGTTGGCAACCCTATTATAGCATCATTAAATTGGAATATATTGTGTTCATTATAAACGGACACAAGTCCTATATTTTAGTACCATTTTAATACGAATTGGAAGATGATATGATATTGGAATTTGAATATGTTAAGAATAAAAATATATAATATTAGCTACGTCCGCTGTTTCACCGCATGAAATTTATAGCTATATCACTGTAAAGTTTCATCAACATCTGTTTAGTATTTTTTGCGTGAAAGATTAACAAACATCCATCTATCTATTATACTTGTTATGTATATAATGTTATAGTATAATTAAGCCTATATGTGTGTATTAAGATACAACTAAATATTTACAAACTTTCGCGTTCATAATATTAGTAAAATATAGGCAATAATTTCAGTATATGATCTTTAAAGATGAGTGTGTTCCCAAACACTCATTTTTAACTATAAGATTAATTTAAAAAAAAATGTTTCAAAAAGTTTAAAAAAATACAAGATTAATAATATTTTATTATTTTATATAGGAACAAAACAGTCAATACATATACAAGTAATCATTAACAAATTATTAATCAAAAAGATCAAACTCGAAACTTAAACTAAACAAATAATTAATCATTTCAAAACTTCTTGATAGGATATAAATCTGTACATCTTAGTATATAGTCTGTTGAATTTGTATTTGTGGGTATGTGTGTAAATATATATGTGTGTGTGAGTATCTAGTTGTGTGTTTAAATAAGTCGTGCAATTGGAAGATGATAATAAATAATGGTTAATTTAAGTAAAAAACATACTAAATACCAGTTCCCACGACTTTGTTAGCGTAAAATAGTGACCTTGACCAAATAATAAAAAAAATATTTAGTAATCTAACCCAATAAAAAAGTTTCATCGTTCTATACAACTCTATAAACAACCTAAAAAAAAGCTTCAAACTTTTAGCTTTAAAAATGATGATACATCCATACAACCTTACATCTCCCCTTTCAACCCCTTACAACCCTTTTTCTTTATTTATATTTTTTCAACAGTTAACATTGTCAGTTTCACACGCACAATGCCAACAAATTCTCTGCTTTGCTCTATATTCCTTAATATGAACATATTACAGACACGTCCCCATCATTCCTGACAATATAAAGAAAGTAGTATTATAAAAGTTACGCACAGTACGTGCTCAGGAAGACATTCTCCTGCTCCTGGATGGAAGGTCGTAACTGAGATAACTACTAAAGCTACTCAACTCTACTGGATATAGTGGCAACACGTGCATTAATAACACGGATGTAACACCACACAGAAGCTTAGTTAGTTTTATTTCGTACTATTCTAATGCATGTGCGTTTACAGCTTCACCGAAAGATAGAAGGAAACCGAAATTCGATTCAAAATATCTTTATTCATGTAGGTCTATTGCAGACTCTTATGATATGTCAAATCTAAGATTTCGAGATGAGAAGAACTGACAAAAACGCAGCTCGTATTCTTTTCAAATATATATTGTACATGTTTACAATAGTACAGATTCATTTTTAAATTCAGATTTGGGAGAATAGAGTGACCGCCAGCATATGCTATTGCAAAAGCAAAAAGTGTAATCAGTGTTCGTAACCTGAACAGACCAGTCCCCACGAGTGGGATGGTAAAAAAGGTGGTGCTACATTACCATAACATCAAATAAACTTTTTTTCGGACTATTCTAATGCTGTTGGCCGCGGCTGGTCTTAACAATTAAACCGAACGTTATGGGTCAAGTGCAGATGGCACTCCAAATCCGCGGAAGGATTTATGGAGCAGCTGAAAGCCTCCCAAGTTAGGGGGCGAGTGCAGATGGCACTCCAAATCCGTGGAAGGATTTATGGAGCAGCTGAAAGCCTCCCACGTTAGGGGGCGAGTGCAGATGGCACTCCAAATCCGTGGAAGGATTTATGGAGCAGCTGAAAGCCTCCCAAGTTAGGGGGCGAGTGCAGATGGCACTCCAAATCCGTGGAAGGATTTATGGAGCAGCTGAAAGCCTCCCAAGTTAGGGGGCGAGTGCAGATGGCACTCCAAATCCGCGGAAGGATTTATGGAGCTGCTGAAAGCCTCCCACGTTAGGGGGCGAGTGCAGATGGCACTCCAAACCCGCGGAAGGATTTATGGAGCAGCTGAAGGCCTCCCTGACAGAAACGACTTAAGCTTGAGGGAACCACTAGAGTACCGAACCTCGGCTCTGGCCGTCGTAATTCCTATGCCGGTATCAAATAGATGGGAGATCGATCTGAAGTAAGGTAGAAAGAATGGAGACAATAATGTAATAGCAGTTTTAATTATTTTTTTTTTAATTATTCAAAATGCTTAATACCATTTCTTCTGAAAACTATAGCCAAGAAATTTAGATGTAGTTTCTTTCAAATCTGTAACGTTACAAGTTAGCACAACTTTTCCTTTACGGAGATAGACTAAAATATCGTCTGCCCTCAAACTCAGCTATTTGAAACGTCAAGCTGCTTGCTTTGTAAACTGTCTTTTGGCTGTAGAGTAAGAAAAGACTATAAAATTACAGGATAAAAAGCATGACATCTTAGTTCACTGGAATGGCAACGCATCAGCGGTAATACGAGTCCGTAGTGCGGCGATGGTTAACACTTACCATCAAATGGACTATTAGACACTTGTCTCTTGACACTTGGCACTGATACTCCAGACAATAATATCAGTCCATCACTATCAATAAAAAAAAAATACTGTGCTGAGTCTCTATGCACATGAAGCACAATATGGTGGCGGTTAAACAGTTTACCTTCTGTATCCCTTGTTTTAGACCCTGTTATTTATTACTCAAACGATTGCATAATCTAGAACCTAATCCAGAGTGTATTAGGTTTCAATCCACCAGTTTTTCCCGACGTGATTGCCTAAACTTGATTAGAAAGTAGATCTAATTAGACTATGTCTAGCTAGCACGTTTTTCCTTACTTGTTCTTGATTTAGTCAGTCTGATTTTCACACCACATTTTTTGCATAGTTCATTAATTTGTTTGATTTGTTTTGATTAGTTTTCACACCGCACTTTTTACATAGTTCATTTATTTGCATACTTTCAAATGCATCACTTATTTATTTATGTAACAGTAAAACGAAGAAAGTTGACGGGGTTCCTGATCAAAACTGGTAACTATCATCTATATTAACAATACTATGGATATTACTATTCATATGTTACCTGAGAACTATGGTGTTTTGCCCCCGTAACATATTATAATGGAACCTTCTTCCCACTTTATATAGGGTCGGCTCTCTTAACTTTGCGGCGACAGGACAATCTGTCCTGGGTTGTCGGGTCGGGCAATTCTTCCCTATCGATGAGATTTGTCATACTGGTCCATCAGTTAGCTGGAGGACATCCTCTACCTCTTTTATGTTCAGTTAGTACAGCTTTTTGGACCGCATATTTCTCGTCTCCTCGCATTACATGGCCATACCATCTGAATCCAAATCATTAGAAAAACTCACCGAAAGCCTTCTCGGCTTTCGGTCTCGGTGAGTTTTTCTGTTGTTGGAGCCGATTTAAACAACAACAATATATTAGAATAGAATATAATAGAAAATTCTTTATTCAAATAAATTTATATTGAAGCATTTTTAAATAGTCATTACCTTTTTTTAATCTACTGCTTATTAGGAAAGTAGTCTCAACACAAGAAGAACGAGCAAGAAACTTGCGTGTTTCTCTTTTGAATAATTTAGTTGTAACTTTACATTTTTAAGTTAATATCAATTTATTAATTTCATTGCCATATAACTCAGCCCTGCTGAACACAATTACAATGGCACTTAATCTCTCTTCCCTTTAAGTCTCTTTTTACATACTCCTTCTTTATTTTGCTGAATTTAGTTACACATTTAGTCACATCGTCTATGCTTTATGTTAGTATATATCGAACATCTCATGACATGTCATATTTAGAAAATGTAGTGTCTTGTTGGTTAAATTCCTATATAGCTCTACCTGATAAAAGGATTTCTGATCTGTAAATGTGGTAATATAATTCATTAAAAAAAATTAAAAATAATCATCAGACAACGAACACACGATGGAATAACAATGCTAATAGCAATATGTAATTCTGTAAATAATACAAGTAAATCAGAACATCTGAAAAGAATGTATTATTACATAGTATAAAACAAAGTCGCTGTCGCTGTCTGTCCGTCCCTATGTATGCTTAAATCTTTAAAACTACGCAACGGATTTTAAAGCGGTTTTTAATAGATAGAGTGATTAATGAGGAAGGTTTACATATATAATACATGTACACCCGTGCGATGCCGGGGCGAGTAGCTAGTAAAGATATAATAATAAAAAATTAACGCCATTACAAGTACACGAATTGGTTACGCGTACAAAAAACAAATACGCACGCAGTTCTATTTATAATAACATCCTTATAGAATATTGTAATTTATGAGTAGTAAACAGTAGGCATCAATGACCCAGACATGTCTGAAGAGCAGACATGTCTGGCGCGTTTCAGCTCGAATGCTCAGCCAAGTATCAATGTTGCGCACATGTCGTGGTCACATTCACTTCTCATTAGGATAATATATCCACCTCCCAGACATACTATTGAATATTAATGAAAAACCCCGTATAAAACTGGGAAGATGAGAATTCCAAAACCATTCCTTCCCTGTATTTCATACAATAACGAACGACCATGAAGTTCCAAAGCGTCGTGTTAATCGCCTTGTTTGCAGTGGCGTCTTTTGTATCTGGAGAGACCCCAAGGCAGTTCTACTGCGGGCGACGGCTGGCTACCACATTAGCGTACATTTGCGATGGAGACATCGCAGTGAAGAGGTCGGGGCCATATATTTCTCTGCCGGAGTACAATGGTGAGTTCGTGTGGCCCTGGATCAGTTCGAGAGGGGCCAGGGCCCTGAACGCCGCCAGGGGTAAGCGGGGGGTCGCGTCGGAGTGTTGTGATAAACCGTGCTCCATGGAGGAACTGCTCACGTACTGTTAAGAGGAATTGTTGGCCTGGTATTGAATTGGTTTTAGGATGGGTTGATGGAGGATGAAATAAATTGGTTTGTTGAGATTTTAGTAGTGTTTCATTTGTGTATTCCTATATATAGCACAGTAAATAAAATATATAAATATACGAGGCATATTTAAATTAATTTTTATTATTTCATTAACTAAATACGTGCACCCATTAAAGAAAATTTTCAATAAATAGTAATAAGTAGGTTAAGTCAAAATTTTATTAACTTCCCACGCAAGATGTTAATGTTTTCAATCTGCATATAGGTATATAATATGTATATAGGTATGTCTCTCATACCATATCTCTTTTCTGTTAATAAATCTCAGTGCTTATTGTACCTATTGAAAAACTAGTTTCCTAGTTTTTCGAAAACGAATTTCTTACTAATAGTATAAAATATATTATATTTATATAACTTAATTATATATTACATAAATATTGTTTAGTTATTTATACAATACTAGATACTCGACCCGGCTTCGCACGGGTGTACATGTATTATACATATACTCTTGAATCACTCTATTTTAAAAAACCGCTTCAGAATCCGTACGTAGTTTTAAAGATTTAAGGGCAGGATAGGGACGTACAGACAGCGACAGCGACTTTGTTTTATACTATGTAATGATGATGATAATGATTGTCTCAATTTTTCGCAATGTCTCTCCTATAACATTTTGTATATCTACCTAGAAGTTAACTGGTAGAGAATGCTATATGACATTAAGCTTGCCTTTTGAACACGTTTTATTTTACAATAAGTAATTTAAAATATATCACCAAGTCAAACATTAAATTTCATATACATGTTCTACCGTTATCGTTAATTCTGGTTATTTCTAATCAATTCGCTTGAATGAGGACTAACTAATTTTTCAAAAAATTTTTTTTTTAATCTTAGACTAATTTTGGGGTTTTTGTTTTTAGACATGTCAACCTCATTATAGCAAACTAATCGGAACAATTCTTAAAAATAACAAACAATTGCCAACTGTGAGGGATCCATTTATTAAGCTGCTTTTATCAGCGCACACAAGCGCAGAGCAACATCCGTAGTATGAGCATGTAGTATGCTCTGAATAGTACCCACATCAAATTTGTTGATTTTAAAATCCTTAATAAATAGTTCCCTCTCTACTCTATTCTTCTAAATTCATTCCCTTTCTAGCATCCTACACTGGTGCCCCGACTATCAGCGCAGGCATTTGCACAATTTCATATAAAAACTATTTTCTAAGTATTCAAATCTCCTGACCTCATCTGGCCTTTACAGCTTCACCGAATGATAGAGGGCGAGTGCAGATAGCACTCCAAACCCGTGGAAAGACTTATAGAGCGGCTGAAGGCCAACTCCTACTTAATGGATACGACTTTAGTCTGAGGGCACCGATAGGGGTTCAAACTTAAGCTTAGGTTGTAATTTCGACCGATTGAATTGGTCCAGGAATCGATCGGAGGGAGTAAATAGTCATGTATTTAAAAATGAATGAAAGTCCTATGTAGATAAAACCCCAACAAGATGCTGTAATAATCATTATGAAGATCTCGTTCAAATATAGCAACTCAGTGCAAATAAGAACGCGAAATGTATTTCTATGAGATTGGTTGCTCTCTGTAACCTGATATGTAAATAGCTAGAGGTGTTTAAAATGTATAATAAAAAGCTATCGAGATAGCTAACACTTGGCGAGTAATAGAGCCTTCCAACATATAGGACATTTATTTTTATGACTCGTTGCATTTATAAGGTAAGGTGAAGTCGTGGCGCGCCGAGCTCTTGTTCAGTGTATTTTTAAGAGCAATAAGTAATACTTAATGAAACTAGTGGTCCCCAAGTGGTTGAAATTCTTTTTTTTTTACCCTGGGCAATAAACACAAATTAATACAGCGCCATCTAGTACCACAGTACGTTGAGCTTCGACCCAATTGGTCGAAATTTTGTTTTCACCCTGGACAATTAACACAGCGCCATCTAGTACCACCGTAAGTTGAACTTCGACCAAATAGAAATAGAAATAATCTTTATTCAAATAAACTCATTACAAGCACTTTTGAATAGTCATATTTTGATTCTACCACTCATTCGGAATGCAGATTCATCACAAGAAGAATGAGCAAGAAACTTGTGTGTTGCTCTTTTTAATAGATGTTTTTTTTTATATAAATAATTACAGTATAACAAGTAAGAGGCATGCGATAATCAACATAGAAGTCGCTACGCACTCATTATTAATGTAATCAGATAATATTGTCAGTGCTATGGATTTAAAGTTTTTCTATAAAAACATTATTATCGTTAACGAATTCTTCAATTTTATAGTAAGCTTTTTTGCAAAGGAACTCTTTTATTTGACATTTAAATCTTTTTTCTGGCAGATTTATAACATACTCTGGTATTTTATTGTAAAACCTTACGCAATTGCCATAAAACGAATTACTAACTTTAGCCAAACGACATTTAGGTAAAATCAGTTTGTTATTGTTTTGTAAGCTTTTATTAGTGCAATCACTAACTCTTTTGAAACTGTCTATATTCCTTCTGGCATAGATGATATTTTCATAAATGTATTGAGAAGCAACGGTGAGGATATTTGATTCCTTAAAACACTCTCGCAATGACTCCCTGGAACCCATACCATAAATGGAGCGAATGGCCCTCTTTTGTAAAGTAAATATTGTATTTATATCAGCTGCTTTGCCCCATAACAAAATACCATACGACATAATGCTATGGAAATAGCTAAAATAGACAAGTTTAGCCGTTGCCACGTCTGTTAATTGTCTAATTCTTCTTACCGCATAAGCGGCAGAACTAAGTCGACTCGCCAATTTAGTAATATGAGCACCCCATTGCAACTTGGAATCTAATGTGATACCTAGAAATACAGTATCGTCAACAAAATTAATAGATTTATTGTCCAATACGATTTTTGAATCTACCGGCCTTACATTGGGGAGAGTAAATTTGGTACATTTAGTTTTATTTGCATTTAGTAGCATATTATTTGCCGTAAACCATTTTAAAACATAAGAGAGAGAACCGTTTACTTCGTCCATATCATCAATATGTCGATTGACTTTGAATACTAATGAAGTATCATTAGCAAACAGAACTATGTCAGCTATCTTTTCTACCATATAAGGAAGATCGTTTATGTAAACTAAAAAGAAGAAAGGACCCAGAATAGAGCCCTGAGGAACACCCATTTTAATACTAGTTCCCTCAGACTTTACACCAAAGTGGTCGGATTTTGTTTTCACCCTGATCAATTAACACAGCGCCATCTAGTACAACTGTAAGCAGAGCTTCGACGAAATTGGTCGTAATTTTGTTTTTTACCCTGGACAATTAACACAGCGCCATCTAGTACAACTGTAAGCAGAGCTTCGACCAAATTGATCGAAATTTTGTTTTCACCCTGGACAGTTCACACAGCGCCATCTAATACCACAGTTAAAACTACTCAACGGATTTTGAAGCGGTTTTTTTATACATGTACACCGGGGCAATGTCGGGACGATTAGCTAGTTATATTTATAAACTATTAACATGAGATGTGTATTACCACTACAAAGAACATAAGTGACGGAGTAATGATGTACAAAAGTACAAAAGGAGGTCCTATCGCTCAAGCAATGTCATCCGAGGAAGTTTTAGGCAGAGGAGACAAGACAGAGTGGTAAGTTTCTCAAGAATAGAAATACTATAAAGTTGCATATTAAAACCATATCCTTCTTTGTGGTTGAAACAAAATAGAAACTTAACCACAAGAACAAACAATTAAATATAAAACCAAACGAATATATTCCCTTCAAACGTGTAAAAGAGAAGACACGACCTTCCAAGGTAAGTTGCATATTAAAATCATATCCTTCTTTGTGGTTGAAACAAAATAGAAACTTAACCACAAGAACAAACAAATAAATATAAAACCAAACGAATATATTCCCTTCAAACGTGTAAAAGAGAAGACACGACCTTCCAAGTATTTATATGTAGGCAATCTGTGCAATTATTTACCCATAAGGAGAATCACGATCCACTCATTACTAAACCAATAATGGTGTATACGACAATCATCGTACAGTAGACTTTGAACTTTAATGTTTAATGTACAAAATTGATTGTTCAAAAGTGAAGTTTATAACATAAATAATTTTAGTGTATGGTGTAATTAGTACACTCACTACTCAAAGCAATCGTGGAATCATTTGCTAATTATTACTTAAGTACTTCACCTACTGACTACCTTGATACTTATTAGATGGATTAATTATTCATAATAATGGATAATATTTTAAGAAAGGTGTTACATATGAATGTGGATGGTTATAAGGGCAGGGGAAGGCCGAAAAAGAGATGGATGGACTGTGTGAAAGATGATATGGTAAGAAAGGGAGTAAATAACGAGATGACTGCCAACAGGGATGAATGGAAGCGAAAAACATATTACGACGACCACAAATAATGGGATAAGGAAGAAGCAGATGATGATGATGAATTATTCATAATAATAAAAAAAACAGCAAAAGCCAAGAAAATAAAGCATACAAATAATAGATAATCATATCTCACGACAATTCACACAGCGCCATCTAGTTCCACGCTAAGCGAACCTTGTGTTACTGAACAAGTGATATAAATACATAGATTTTGTCTAAGACATTAGGTGTTACTTAAAAATAAATGTATGCAAACCTCATTTTGCTATATTATATATTTTTTAAAAAAAGAACACAGAACACTAATTTTAAATTAGTCATTCTGAGCTAATTCATTGAAAGGAAAATACAAGATCCTTTACATGAGTGCAAAATATTTGTTTAATTTTCAAAAGAACAAAAGGATAGTACAAACATTTTGGTCTTCGGAGCCGGATAACTTTATAAAAATTATATAATATAGCAAAATGAGGTTGCATACATTTATTTATAAGTAATACCTAACGTCTTAGACAGATTTTTTTGTAAATCCATCTCTATATATATAACTCAAAGGTGACTGACGTAATGATCTATCAACGCACAGCCCAAACCACTGGACGGATC